GAATACAATACCTTTAAAAGATACTTGAACAAGTAGATAATGTGGACCTTGATCGCTTGCTCATTACTGTAACTCAAAGTTCAGTCTATGAGGCAGCTATAGGGGCTGGTTTGAAAGCTGGCATCCAGAACACTGTTTTCCCTAAATGTGCTGCTTGAACTTGCTAAAGCTTTTTCCCTTCAGGGAACTGCTCTCTAAAGCAGATCCTGTGGTTTGCTTCTTTCCGTTTTTTGTCACTAAAAAGGAGACCCGAGTGCTAAGGGTAAAGTAAACGGTGTTCCAGTGTCTAAAACACACACTTTGAAGCAGCTTTTCATGCTTTATTATCAGTTCATTCCCTTTTACCTCAGAGAAAAGTTAAGGACCAAGCTTAATAAAACTGTCTGAAAATATCTTTTTAAAAAAACCTCTAAAAGGAGTGCTTTGAATGCTTAAGTATTTTCCCCACAGACCAGGCTTGACACAGCTCGTGGGTTTGACACAGACTTTCTAGGTGGTTCTCAAGATGCTGACATTTAACACATAGCCCAAATGCTATGTGAGTTTTATAGAATCCCAGCAATTTTTGCTCATGGTCTCATACAAGAACTTTGAAAAGGCAGAGATCTAGAGGATTTTTCAATAATGGTGTTGTGGGAATTCTATCATGCCTGTTAAGGGCTACCTTTGCAACCACATTGCAGTGGGTTGACTGATAGTCTTGTAAGTGTTGAAATGTTCTCCCACAGGCATCGAGTATTTTCCCTGCCCACCACACCGTGGTGCCAAAATGGACGTGGGCCTGAAGTCAAGGGACTGCACAGCCCCACTGCCATGCCAGAATCCACTGTGTCTCAAAAAGGCGGAAGCTGTCGTAAGTACCTTTGAGTTTGTATCCTGTCACTGAAGACTTGTGGCTGGAATGCTTGGTTCTGTGCGTGATTTTCCCTTCCCTGTTGTTTGCACAAGGAGAACCCAACAATCAAGCAGAAATCCTTGTTGTGATGATCGGGGGAATCAATGGCTTGCACAGTTGCAAGCTGCAGGCCACTGGGAGCAAAACGAAGCACTCTGCCTGCAGAGCCCTTTTGCCGGCACATTGACCGAGAGGATTTTAGCCCTAGCAAACAACCACACACTCTGCTCACTACAGCCTGGGAAAAAGCATTTGCCTTCACAGCGTCACTCCTGATGAGGACAAGTGAACTGGGGTAACCTTTTGAAAATCACATTTTGAAAGCAAAGCTTTTTTTTTTTTAGTTGTTTCAAAACTTTAGTTTTTGGATGCTTGTCCTCCTGTTTAAGACAGAAACCACATTTTGAATCGCCTCCAGAAGGAAAGAGCATTATTTCTAAGCTCTGCCTCCGGCTGGCGGAAAAGTACAAAAAAAACCACTCTGACAGCAGTGGAGCACCGGCCGCAGGGCCAGTGGCTTGTTGATGGCCTCGGGCCCCAAATATGGCGGACTTTGTTGGAGCTCAGCTTGAGCTAGGCTGAGGAGAGGTGGTGGGATGATTATTCAAGGGGAGTGAAGAAAATTTGGTAGACAGTAACTCTAGTATAGATCCCTTTTCATAAGCAGGCTGAGGTTGCTTAAGCAAAGACAGGTGAAAGCAGCAGAATGGAACCTTTCCGGATCCCACCGAGGCACCTTTGTTCATTTGGCTAAGGGTGCAAAATTTTCCCATTGTCTTTGTTCTGTTTCTGGCTCAGATATGTTTCTAAGCACGAAAGGAAGCTGGGGAAGAAAAGACGGGCGATTCTTCACCGCCATTCACAGCTGATGACTCTATAAACCTAAAGACACATTTCTACCAAAAGATGGTAGAAATGCGGGCGTCTTAAGGACCCGTCTCTCTTTAGAACCCACCCACGTTCCTTCCCAGAAAAAGAAATTTAAATATTTTGAGTCTGCATGGCTTCCTGCGGCCACTGGTAATTATCTATAACAAAGGAATCATAGTCAGGGCTATATATGAGGGACTTCACGAAGGCTTCCTTGTCTTCTGGCTCTGGGTACCAGGATGCCAAACTGTGCTTGTAGGCATAGTCAACGACCTAGAAGCAAAAGAGAGAAGGAAGATGTACTGAACAGAAGAAGACTGGATTAGGGCTACATGACTGAGCCTCAACTAGCAGGCATGTTGAGGGTTAGGGTAGGATTTCCAATTATAATGCAAGGCTTCAGTACCTCACCCTGGGTTTTCTTCTTCACCCAGGATGAGCAAAAGGTGTCAGGATTTGTTCCTTTAAGTGAACAAGGGGTTAAACTTAATATTGTAGTGAGAATGCAAAGTCATGCCTGTAAACGTCAAGTCATTGGATGACTGATGGCATGCAGCTGCAACAAGCTTAGGTAGTGCTTGTTAACCATGTTCATCTGCTATATCTGCAGTGATAGGCTGCTCTCACTATTTAAGCAAGCGAGTGAGAACAACACTTTGCCACTCAGTTGTGAGTCTGGTGGTCATTACTTTACTTCTGTGAATGTTACGTTGCTCTGAGACATCTATGCACAACCCTAGGTGTATAATGCCATGTATATATGTCTGACCAATGCTAATATAAGTCTAATATATTATGCTTTAAGTCTTATCAGAACTCTCTCCGTGTTTTTCCTTATACGTCCACGTCTTTGCTCTGCTTATACAGCGGAGTCTCGACTTATGGTTGGCTCCACTTACGTACTTTTCGACCTACAGAATTCTCCGGCCACAAAGTTTTACTTCGACTTGTGGTCGGAGAATCGACCTACGGACCAG